TGGCACTTTCTCAGAAAATTGGGGATAGTTCCACCCTAAGATCCAGCTGTACCACTCCTGGGCATATACTCAAAACATGCTCTACCATATAACAAGGACATTTACTCGACTATGTTCATAGTGGCTCTATTTGTAATAGCCAGAATCTGGAAACAACCTAAGTGTTCTTCAATGGAGGAATGGATATAGAAATTGTGCTACATTTACAGAATGGAACACTGCTCAGCTATTAAAAACAAAGAAATCATGAAAAATTTCAGGCAAATGGATGGAACTAGAAAAGATCTTCTAAAGTGAAGTAACGCGCATCCAGAAAAACACACATGATACGTATTCACTTATAAATGGATATTAGACCTATACAGGATAATCATACTACAGTTCACAGATAAGTAACAAGGAGAGCCTAAGGGAGGGTGCCGAAATGTCACAAAAAATAGACTAGATGGCAGAAAGTAGAACAGATAGCTCAAGTGGATGAGGAAAGGGAACTGGGCAGGAGATGAAATGGGGAGGAAAAGAAAGGGTGGGGATCAGATGTGGGGAGAAGAGGGGTGGGAGGTGAGAGGGCTGAGAACAAGAAGGGAAACTTGGAGGGAGGTCATCACTTTGTCAAGTTGGAGGCCTGCGACAGGGTAATCTCCTGGCAAGATATAGTTGTGACTCTAGGTGAGACTCCTAATGGGGGGAGAGTGGACATGAAGACTGAAGTGATCACTTCCTAGCCAGGCAAGACAACAACCCAGCAACAAAATCTGTGATCCAAAACTTACCCTGCCTACAAGAAGTGCAAGGATAAGGAGGAAACAATGATTGAGGGAAAATCCAAGCAATAATAGGCCCAACCTGAGACCCACTTGATGGTAGAGAGCCATCCCCTGACACTAATATGAATACTTTGCTATACTTGCAGATAGGAGCCTAATATGGCTGTCCTCTGGGAGGGTTCGGCCAGCAGCAGATGGAGACAGGTGTTGGGACTTACAGCCAAGCACGTGGTGGAACTCTGGGGGTCCTGTGGAAGTGTAGGGGGAATGATGGAAGGACATGGAGGGGACAGGAGTCTCACAAGAAGACCAACAAAGACAACTAACCCAGTCCCATAGGGGCTTGCAGAGACTGAGACATCAACTACGGAGCATTCATGATCTGGACCTAGGGCAACTTGGGTTTCATACGGATGCCTGACAAGTGGAGGGGAGAGGGCTGTTTCTAACACAGACTCTGTTGCCTGCTTTTGGATCACTTCCCCCTGGTAGTGCTACCTTGCCTGGCCTCAGGGGGTGAAAATGTACTCATTCCTGATGTGATTGGATGTGCTGGGGAAGGTTAATATGGGGTAGGGAGGGCTCCCCTTTTCTGGGGGGAAAATGGTGAGGGGATGGAGGAAGAAAGGTAAGTGTGGCAAGACTGAGAGGAACGAAAGGAGGTAAATAAACTAATTATAAACATAAATAAATACATTAATTAATTAGTTTTAATTAATTAATTAATATAATTTTTACCTAACATGCAAAACCATATCCACATGCAGTACTTTTATTTTACGATCAGCAAGATTTATTGTAACCCCATATCAAGGAAATTTTTAAGAGTTACACTCCTTAATTTTCTAAAATCAACAAAGGAAATGTTTATATTCCGTAGAGTTCATAGTTATTGCATCAGTTCATTCCTGCTAATATCGCATACAGTTACAGATCACGCTTCATCAGTAATGTGACCAGATTTTTTTTTCCCATGGGTTGTTTCTTTTATTTTTTATATTAAATTTTTATTTTTTTAATATTAGTTACAGTTTATTAACTTTGTGTCCCAGCTGTATCCTTCTCCCTCATTCCCTCCCAATCCCACTCTCCCTCCCTTATGTTCTCCCTACCCCTTTCCAAGTCCACTGATAGGGGAGGACCTTCCCCCCTTTCATCTGACCCTAGCTTAACAGGTATTTCAGCCTGGCTGCAATGTCCTCCTCTGTGGCCTAGCAAGATGGCCCCTCCCTTGGAGAGGGGGTAAGTCAAAGAGCCCGCCATTGAGTTCATGTGAGAAATAGTCCTTGTTCCCCTTACTAGGGTACCCATTTAGATACTGAGCTACATGGGCTACATTCGAGCAGGGGTTCTAGGTTATATCCATACATGGTCCTTGGTTGGAGATACAGTCTCATAGAGGACCCCTGTGCCCAGGTACATTTGGTCCTTGTGGAGCTCCTGTCCTCTCCAGGTCATACTAACTACCCCTTCTTTCATATGATTCCCTGCACTCTGCTGAAGGTTTGGTTATGCTTTAGGGAATCAGGTTCACTGCACAGGTTTTGTTCTTGACATATCTCTCATGTTTAGCACATGGTCTCAAAATCTGAAATTCTTTAGTCACTTAGATTGTATTGTTACAGGAACAGACCAGGCAGCTGCAAGCTGTTTTTTAAATTCCTTATAGATGAAGTGAATAATTTTGAAAAGTTCACTAAAATTATCAGTGCTGAGATGTCTAATAGGAAGTTTTCCTTGTCATACTTCCCATTTTCACAAATTTGTAGTACTCAGTATCATTGTTAATGGAGAAATCCCTAAAGATGTCCAAGATAATTATTTATTAGGTTCTCATTTTGTTCGGAAAACAGAAAAGGTGACATGGAATACACAGGGGACAATGAAGTGAAGAAGGGTTGGGCCGGGTGGAAAGACGTCTTGATATGCATGAATGGCTTCATAAACCCACATCATATGGGAAGAAAATCTGACCCAAGAGAAAGCTGTGATTTTAGTAAGTCAGCTCTCTGATATTCTTCTTTTAGGTAATTAATAAAATATTTCTAGTTATCTCTTTTTACCATTATATGTTATATATAAAGTTCAGAATGTGTTTTTGACTTTCATCGATTTGAGTCCAATATTGTGTTTTTTTTCCACTTCTGTTCCATGAATGCTCGAGTCTACCTCAGATGCTCATGCTCGCCATTTTTAATCAGATAATCTATTAGAGTAGTATACAGCTAACATTTTACAAATATTCACTTCAAGTTAACCAGACAGAATAGTTTTGAGTCAAGAAGTGCATAGAGGATAAGAAAACTTTCAGAATAGAATTGGGCATAAAAATAAAAGCATTCTGGGTGGTTATTGTGGGAATCAGCTCAAAAGGGCATTCAGTACAGAAATGCATGGAAAAATACAAGAAAATAAACAGTTTGCTTCTAGACTCTTAAAAAAGATAATTCAAGTTTCTTTTTGTTTTTCTCAACATAAAAACATTAGATATTCTAAAAGAATTTCTACTAAGTTAAATGCAACAATTACAGAGATGCTTTAATTGATTGTATTCATTAGGTCTTTGACAGTCGTGATAGCTCCTGGGCAAAAAAAGAGAGGGTGAAGTGGTTATTATGTTCCTGAAAAAAATTGAATATCAAATATGAATCATGCATTTGTATATTTCACATATACATAGTATAGTTTGCTTTTAGACTTTTAGAGAGATAATTCAGCTTGTTTTCCTTCATTAATTTTTATGTTAATGTAAAAGCTAACATTAGATTTTCAGGAAAATTGCTAATAAGTTAAATACAGGAATGTGTATTTATATATTTATAAATATGCATTTCCATATGTAAAATATGTATGTGCAAATAAAAAATATTTTCGGGTATAAATACATATGTTCAAATATATAATATATACATATATATGAGCATGTATATCTTACACAAAGAGTTCAGCTGAACATCAAAATATTGGCCATAACTTTATGAATCATATTGTTTCAAGACACAGTAGGAAATAAGATTAAAGGGAACAATTCATGCACCATTGTGCTCTGGATATTAGAGAGGCGTAATGCTCATGTGTACATTTTATTCTATAATTTCACAGCACAACGTCATCTAGTTAGGGGAAAGGAATCCATGGGCAGACAGCAGAGTCAGAGACAGCTACTGACCCTGCTATAAGAGATCCCACATGAGGACTAAGCTGTACCTCCTTTATATATGTGTGAGGGGCCTAGGTCAGGCCCATAGACTCTCTCTTCTTATGGTTCAGTCTCTGTGAGTCCCTTTGGGCCCAGGTGGGTTGATTTTGTAGGTTTTCTTGTCGTATCCTTGATTTTTCTGGCTCTTTTAATCCTTCCTCTCCCTCTTCCATAAGATTTTCTGAGCCCTGCCAACTCTTTGGCTGTGGTTCTCTGCGTCTGTTTTCATCAGCTGCTGAGTGAAGCCACTCAGATGACAGTTATGCTGGTTTCCTGCCTGTAAGTATAGCAAAATATTATTAATACTGTCATGCGTGGGCTCTCTGCATGGCATGGGACTCAAGCTAGGGAAGTCAATGTTTGGGTAGGTCGAAGGTTTTATGGGTGGGTGGTGTTTCTCTTCCTCTGCTGTAAATCCACCTGTCGACAGGAGGGGGCCACATCATGCTCCATAACCCCTGCTTCTAGGAGTCTCAGCTGGGGTCACCACCATAGACTCCCAGGAGCCTCCCCTATCCCAGAGAAGACACAGATATTATTCTACTGAGGCTCAAAGAAATCATTATATAGTCTGACAAAATGGTTACAACTTCTAATACCATTTTTACTGAAATTTGATGTATTTCCCCTTCAGCTGCCAAATTTAATCTTCTTTTCTTTTTTTTTTTAATTTCATGAACGCTAGTAACAAATTTGGACAGTTTTTCTCAATGAAACAGCATCCATTTGGGTGTTTTCACGTTGCTCCCTCGCTCTCTTGCTTTACTCACTGCTCTCTTTAAAAAAAAAAAATGCTGATGGAGCGTGTGAATAACAATCACACATGATGCTTCTCTTCATGAGCTTGACTCATTAGCTTTCACCTCAGGCAGCAATGTTACTCATTCTTGGCTTAGATTTATCTTTAATTTATCCATTTCTATTCAGATGCGTTTCAATATGAATGTCTAATTCTACAAAGAAAGTAGCCCACAGCATACCTCTTGTTGATAATTTTTCTTTCTTTGCAGGTTACTTCTGAGGACACACTGAGAAAAATGGGTGAGGGCAATCAGTCTGTGGTGTCAGAATTTATACTTTGGGGACTTTCCAACTCATGGACTATTCAGCTCTCACTCTTTGTGATATTTTTAATGCTTTATCTTCTCATTGTTTCTGGAAATATTGCCATTCTGGTTTTAATCATCACTGACCCTCATCTGCATTCTCCCATGTACTTCCTGTTGGCCAACCTGTCTTTTGTTGATATGTGGCTTTCTTCAGTCACCACTCCTAAAATGATCACAGACTTTCTCAGGAAAAACAAGACCATTTCTTTTTCAGGCTGTATGTCTCAGGTCTTCTTTGCTCACTGCATCGCTGCAGGAGAGATGGTGTTGTTGGTGGTAATGGCTTATGACCGCTATGTGGCCATCTGCAAGCCGCTCCATTACTTCACCATCATGAACCTGAAGAGATGTACTGGGTTGGTGTTGACTTCCTGGACAACTGGATTTGTACATGCCATGAGTCACCTGGTAGTGATCGTGGAGCTGCCATTTTGTGGACCTAAGGAAATAGACAGTTTTTTCTGTGACATGCCATTGGTAATCAAGCTAGCTTGCATAGATTCCCATGATTTGGATGTTCTAATGAATGCTGACTGTGGGGTTGTGGCTGTAACCTGCTTTATTCTGTTGCTCATATCCTACACATATATCCTAATCACTGTACGTCAGAGCTCTAAAGCTGGGGCACATAAGGCCCTGTCCACGTGCACTGCCCACATCACAGTGGTGATGATCTTTTTTGCACCTTGCATCTTCATCTATGTGTGGCCTCTCAATATCACCTGGTTGGATAAATTTCTTGCTGTATTTTACTCTGTTTTCACACCTCTCCTCAACCCAGCTATTTATACTCTGAGAAATAAAGAAATGAAAAATGCCATGAAAAGATTCATAAGCAACTACCTTGGTCCCAAAGGAAATTTCTAATATCCAGATATATGTACTAATTACTGAACATAGTGAACTTGACTGTTTGAAATAGATTTTAAGTCAGAAAATATAGTTGATATTCAAAATTTGTACAAATACCCTAATATAGATATAACTTGATAATTTAAAGAAAATATGACATTTACTGACCAACATTCAAAACACTGTGAATATTTCTTCCTAAATCTAAATTGAATGTTCTTTCTTTGTAGGAATGTCATCAAACTGTTCCTCTATGTTTTTAATAGAGTTTACCTTAATGTGTATTGACCAAACTCATATGTTTATCTTTATAAATAACATCTTAGTAAAATTTACCTGATTATAATTCTGTATACTACCACATGCCCAAAATTTTTGATGTCTTTGCCAAATGGCCAATATCATCACTTTTGCCTGATCACAGCTATCTACCAAAAAAAAAAAAAAACAAAACAAAACAAAAAAAAAAACTAAGGGAGTGGGCAGAAAATGTTAAGAGAAGATCAAACAAGTTATAAACTCAACAAGGCAGCATTGTATTATGTGTTTTTATTTTAAGCCAGATGAATAAGTATCATAATAAAATGTCCAAAAAGTTTACTGAGATTTCTATGTTATCTCAATCTGGCACTAAAATTTGTGCTCTAAATTATTATTTAATATCATATATCCTGAAATATAATCTCCACGAGGTCTGTTTTCATAAATTGACTGATTCATTAATAAAGCTATTGTACTTTATTCAGTAGTTAGCACACATGAGACATTTACTCAACATATTTGTAAGTACAGCTATGGCATGTTGTTTGCAAGACTGCAGAAGTGTTAAAACAATATAGACTGTTGCCTTTATCTTTGTTTGCCCATCATAGCTATTTGGAAAGACCCTGTTAATGAATACATAGCATACTTTTGTTTCAGGACACAGAGAAACCGAACTGACTGGGGTACTTCCTCCCATTGGATATTGTTCATGACATTAAAAGGTGCTCAGCACGATGGGAAAGAAAGGACTTCAGTGGTCTTACCCATTTCTAGACCTTGCATGGGAAAATACCAACCAGTCTGGCAAAATATATACACTACTGTAATAATGGTATTGCTTTCATAGGGTAACAAACTATGTTTTGGATGCTTTTTCCACAAGAGAGAATTTATAATGTTGGTTAAAACCCCATAGCCATTTGACCACTTTAAGAATTTCAGATCTTATATTAAGTATTTTTTATTTAGGGTGTATTTTAAAGGATGCAAATAAAGGTTTAAGTTCATTCTTCCTCATGTGCACATCTCATCCTCCTTGTTTAGGATTCTTCCTTCCCTCCAGTACGTAGTTTTGGTATATTTGGTGAAAATCATGTCACTCTAATTGTGTAGACTTAAGTAAAGTCTTTCTAGTATATTTTATTCATTTATATGTAGTTATACAAGTATGCCAGTACCATGCTGTTGTGGTTCATTTACACAATTAAATATTAATCAGCAATTAAACACAAGGAAATCATGAAATTTGTAAGCAAATGGTGGCATATAGAAAAGATCATCCTGAGTGAGGTATCCCAGAAGCAGAAAGACACACATGGTATATACTCACTTATAAGTGGAAATCAAACATGTAGTATAGGATAAACATACCAAAATCTGTACACCTAAAGAAGCTAAGCAAGAAGGAGGCCCATGGGTAAGATGATCAATCCTCACTCAGAAAGACAAACTGGATAGACATTGGAAGAAGGAGAAACAGGAAATAGGACAGGAGCCTACCACAGAGGTCCTCTGAAAGACTCTACCCAGCAGTGTATCAAAGCAGATGCTGAGACTCTTAACCAAACTTTGGACAGAGTGCAGGGAATCTTGTGAAAGAAGGGTGAGAGAGTAAGACCTGGAGAGGACAGGAGCTCCACAAGGAGAGTAACAGAACCAAAAAACTCTGGCACAGAGGTCTTTTCTGAGACGGACACTCCCACCAAGGACCATTCATGGATACAACCTAGACCCTCTGCTCTGATATCGCCCATGGCAGCTCAGTATCTAAGTAGGTACCTAGTAAGGGGAATAGGGACTGTTTCTAACATGAACCCAGTGGCTGGCTCTTTGATTGCCTCTCCCTGACAGGGGCAGCTCTCTTGCCAGGCCATAGAGGAGGACAATGCAGCCTATCCTGATGACAACCTGATAAGCTAGGGACACATAGAAGGTGAGGAGGTTCTCTCCTATCAGTGGACTCAGAGAGAGGCATGGGAGGAGATGAGGGAGAGAAGGTACGGTTGGGAGGGAATGAGGGAGGGGCTACAGCTGGGATACAAAGAGAATAAACTGTAATTAATATAAAAAACAAAATTTTGATAAAAAGTGGGATACACTGTCTGCAGGGTAGAGCCTTTCAGAGGCCCTCTGTGGCAGGTTCCTAGGTTGTTTCCTGTTCTCTTCTTCTGATGTCCATCATCTTTGCCTTTCGGAATGGGGATTGAGCATTTTAGTCAGGGTCCTCTCTCTTGATTAGTTTCTTTAGATGTACAGATTTTAATAGGTTTATCCTATGTTATGTCTATATGAGTGAGTATATATTGTATGAGTCTTTCTGCTTCTGGGACAATTCACTCAGGATGATCCTTTCCAGGTCACACCATTTACCTGCAAATTTCATGTTTTCCTTATTTTTCATTGCAGAGCAATACTCCATTGTGTAGATATAGCACAATTTCTGCATCCATTCTTCAGTTGAGGGGCATCTGGGCTGTTTCCAGCTTCTGGCTATTACAAATAAAGCTGCTACAAACATGACTGAGCAAATGTCCTTATTGTGTACTTGAGCCTCTTTTGGATATATGCCTAGGAGTAGTATGGCTGGATCTTGAGGAAGCGCTATTCCTAGTTGTCTGAGAAAGCGCCAGATTGATATCCAGAGTGGTTGTACGAGTTTGCATTCCTGCAATTGTGGCCTTAGTATGGAATTCCACAGTAGTATTCAGACTATTTTAAGGGACTTAGTTCCTAATGCCCTACCTACCTTGGCCCTGTTTCAGTCAGGGTTCTGTATAAGAACACAACTGAAAAAAAAATAATGTGTGGGGGCTGGAGAGATGGCTCAGCAGTTAAGTCTGTTATTCCAGAGGACCTGGGTCCATTTCCCAACACCCACATGAAAGCTCACAACTGTCTATAACTCCAGTTCCAGGGGATCTGACACCATCACACGGACAGGCAAAGCACCAGTGAACATAAAAAATAAAAATGAATGTGTGTTCACACATGCATGCGTGTTCGAGCAGAATGGTTTACTGGTTATGGTTCAGGCAGTCCAACAATGGTTGTCTCTTGATGGAAAGGCCAAGGACTCAGTAGCTGTACAGTCCAGGAGACTAGATATCTCAGCAGTCCCAGTCTAATGCTGGAGACCCAGTAGATCCCTGAGAGCTGCTGGTCTTCTATCTATATTGAAACCCTAAGTGAGGGAGTTCTAACACCAGTGAAGGAAGGAATGCCCCAGCATCAGGATAGATGAACTTGCCAGTAACAATGAGGACAAGGAAATCATGAAATTTGCAGGCAAATGAAAGGAATTAGAAAAGATTATCCTGAGTGACGTATCCCAGAACCAGAAAAACACGAATGGTATGCACTCACTTATAAGTGGATATTAACCATATAACATTAAGATAACCATACTAAAATCTACACACCTAAAGAAACTAAACAACTAGGAGGACTCTAGGGAGGATGTTTAAATATCATCCAAAATGGCAAACAGGATAGACACCCGAAGCAGTGGAAGAGAGGGAACAAGATAGAAGCCTACCATAGAGGGTCCTCTGAAAGGCTTCACCTAACAAGGGATTGAAGCAGATGCTGAGACTCACAGCTAAACTTTGAGCAGAGGGCAGGGAATCTTATGGAAGAAGGGAGGAATAGAAGGACCCAGAGGGGATAGGAGCTACAAAAGGAGACCAACATAGCTAAAATATCTGAGGCCAGCAGGCCCTGTAGAGACTGATGCACCAACCAAGGACCATGCATGGAGAGGACCTAGACTTCCTGCTCAGATATAGCCAATAGACAGCTCAGTCTCCATGTGGGTTCCTGAGTAAGGGGCTGCCTCTGTCATGAACTCACTCTGTTGACTGCTCTTTAGTTACTTTCCCCTGGCTATGTGACCTTGCCAGGCCACAGAGGAAGAGGATCCAGGCAGACCTGATGAGACTTGATAAGCTAGGGTCAGATGGCAGGGGATGAGAACTCCCCCTTTCAATGGACTAGAAGAAGGGGATGGGGGGATGAAGAAGGGTGGGTGGGACCGGGAGGAGAAGAGGGAGGGGCTACAGTTGGGATATAAAATGAATAAATTGTAAAAAAATAAAAACAAAAAATCGCCCCCCCCCAAAAAAAAAGTGGGATACAGAACTAAACAGAGAATTCTCAATAGAGGGATATTGAATGGCAGAGAAACACATAAATAAATGTTCAATGTCCTTAGTCATCAGGGAAATGCAAGTCAAAAGGACCCTGAGATTTCATCTTACATCCAACAGAATGGCCAAGATTAAATATTCAAGTGACACCACATGCTAGAAAGGATGTGGAGAAAGGGCAACCCTACTCCATTGCTGGTGGGAATGTAAACTTGTACAACCACTTTGGAAATCAATATGTCAATTTCTTTTTTTTATTTATATTTTATTTTATTTTTAATTATACTTTATTTACTTTGTATCCTCCCTCTACTTCCCTTCTTCCTCTCTTCCCAATCCCTCCCTTCCTCCCCCTTTTCCACGCATGCTCCTCCCCAAGTCCACTGGTACTGGAGGGTTTCTTTTTCTTCCCTTTGATCCTAGTCTGTTAGGTCTCATCAGGAGTGGCTGTATTGTCTTCCTCTGTGGCCTGGTAAGGCTGCTCCCCCCCTCAGGGGGAGGTGATCAAAAAGCAGGCCAATCAGTTCATGTCAGAAGCAGTCCCTGTTCCCATTACTATGGAACCCACTTGGACACTGAACTACCATGAGCTACATCTGTGTACTT